GTTTTTAAGTCATCTCGATATCTGGCCGACACTCAGAAGCATAAGCGGGTTGCCCTCTGACAGCCAAAATGTGGAACTCGATGGTTTCGATTTTTCTAGTGTGTTATTCAAGAACGGAAAGGTGTGTACCCTTATTAAGCTGATAGGTACTAGGTCTTCTTTTTAACAAAGATATGTATGCATTTTTTCTCTCAATAATAAATTTTTTTTTTATTATTGCAATTTTATTTACATTTATTTTAATCAAAAATGTTTATCAAAATTTTATGTACTAATCTAATATTTATTTTCGATTATGTAGACGATTATAAAAGTATACTTATTTAAGACATACTATTATTAAACATGTATTGTATTTCAAGTGAATGTTTATTGTTGTAGTTGTCTGTTTCTTGTTAACAGAGTCCAAGAGAATCAATGTTGTTTTATGACATCACACCGGATCCCGAAAGGGGACCATTTGCTATTCGCACGACCACCTACAAAGCACATTTTTTAACCGAATGCAGAGATGTGTATGATGGACAGTCCGAGTGGTTTAGAACGATCTTATGATCAATTTTTTTATTTAATGCCGGCACACTTACTTTTCTCATTCATCTAATAATTTTCTTTTTATGTTGATAATTTTATTATTTCTTCTTTGTTTGTCTCTTCTTCATCCTCTTTTGTTTCTTTTACTCGACTTCTATTTTTTAAAAGCGCATAGAGACATCAGAGAGATTTCGATTTGTGCGACGACGTGACGCTAGAACAGAATCACCCTTGATGCGTCACCGTCCTATAGCCGGGCGTCCATACGTATAGATTTGGCCAAATTGCGTCCTAGAATCCAGGCGACTAGGAGAACTTAACGTTCTCGCATGTTCAGAGGACTTTTAGTGACGTCATTACGTTCTACGTCCTACCGTCGTCGTGCAATCCAAAGCTCCCTATGCACTCTTCAAGTCTACAACCATTACCATTACGGTCAAAGGTTAAAAAACAAACTGAAAATATTCGAATAATGAGAAAGACCTATTCGTCTGCTGTCTCTTATACACATCTAGATGTGTATAAGAGACAGTATATATATGGTATTGGTTTTTATATAACAAAAAGGCGTCATATATTCTAATTCAAAGAAATATGTTGTAATATGTTAAAATATTTCCTGTAATTCATGTAAGTTTAAGGTTAATCTTTTGTACAAATAATTAATATATACCGGTATTGACATTAAAGTTGATATATTTATTTTTCTTGCTGCTAATTCATACCCGTTTCGTTTGAAACAATATTCCATGAATAATGATTAGTAAATTGATACATGTATTTATTTGGACTTGAAATTATGACAATTGATCTCTGTCCTCGAAAACCTCTGTCGTTATTGTTGCTTATGATAATGTATTTACACTTTAACATGGTATTTAAAGTCGTTATAATATTGGCTTATATCTCAGTGCTAAGTTTGTGAGCTCAATCGGCGAATTTGAAGCTCTGTAAGAAACGTATCACCACTGAATTGTTGAAAAACCGTATGTATTCAATATGTTTTGTTATTACTAGTAATTTTTTAATATTATGTGATCACGACATATTTTTTAGGCTTTTTAAACTGATATCTCGCATATTAAACTTTGGCCTAGTGGTTTAGAACAATCTTATGATCAATTTTTTTATTTAATGCCGGCACACTTACTTTTCTCATTCATCTAATAATTTTCTTTTTATGTTGATAATTTTATTATTTCTTCTTTGTTTGTCTCTTCTTCATCCTCTTTTGTTTCTTTTACTCGACTTCTATTTTTTAAAAGCGCATAGAGACATCAGAGAGATTTCGATTTGTGCGACGACGTGACGCTAGAACAGAATCACCCTTGATGCGTCACCGTCCTATAGCCGGGCGTCCATACGTATAGATTTGGCCAAATTGCGTCCTAGAATCCAGGCGACTAGGAGAACTTAACGTTCTCGCATGTTCAGAGGACTTTTAGTGACGTCATTACGTTCTACGTCCTACCGTCGTCGTGCAATCCAAAGCTCCCTATGCACTCTTCAAGTCTACAACCATTACCATTACGGTCAAAGGTTAAAAAACAAACTGAAAATATTCGAATAATGAGAAAGACCTATTCGTCTGTTGTCCTTCTGTGTAAATTGAAAAGAACATATAATTCATCCAGCATGAGAAAAATAAATAATTGTAATAATTAGTCCAAAAGATTTGAATTTAAATTGTGGGCATGTATGTAACAACGATTTTACAACTAATGATGTTCTTTGTAGGTTGTAACATCAAACAATGAGTTGCAGTCGTGCCAATATTGCCACTACAACACGTTTTACTGAACTACTTAAACTCATCGTTATTCTGTTGACTGTACCTCCTCCCAACCATGTCCAGTGTATTGACGGTAAACCGCCAAACATCGTAATCTTCATGGCCGATGACTTGGGTTATGGTGACCTGCAGTCCTTTGGAAATCCTCTGTCGCACACACCGAACATCGACGCCCTGATAAAAGCAGGAATAAAATTCACACAATTCTACAGTGCCTCACCAATCTGCAGCCCGGCAAGGTATTTTGATATTGAATCACGCATCACAGCATTACACACATTTCCTACATCTCTTTGATTATATTCTATTTCCGCTGTCTATCAAACTAGAAGAGTTTATTGAGTTTGAACGATTTCATTAGATTACATAGACTGGGTCCCAGTCCTTAAACTTTGTCTTACTCAGTGAAAATGCTTAAAAATAAATCGATTTTGGCGTTCCATTTTGCTTATTTGCATGGCGTTCCATAGTATACTTTTTTGGGAAAGTTTCTCTATAATAAGCAGACGTTGGTGCCGCTCTTCGAAAGTCTTTATACCTTGTCTCTTTAAGAAAAACCAATAAATCAGAGACTTGTGGCAAGTCTATAGATTACAATATTGGCATGGTTTGAGGGTATAACAACAATCAGTTAATGGACATTTATAGAAGGCCAAAATAAAAGAATATCATAACAACTGCTTTTGGTAATATGATAGGCTTATTCTAAATCGCCATGGTTCCAATAAAGATACGACAAATACGAGAAACAAATAAAATTTTATATTTGGTTCAATCCATCAATTATTTTATGTCTGAACAGAGCAGCACTTCTCACTGGTCGTTATCCGATCCGAACAGGAGTTTGGAATGATGTCAACAACGCTATCTTCCTCCAGGAGAACATTGGTGGACTGAAACTCAATGAAACAACTGTTCCAGAAATGCTTGCCACCCGAGGCTACAAGTCTGCTCTCATCGGCAAATGGCATCTTGGTGTTGGTCCTGAAAAAGAATATCTGCCAACACATCATGGATTTGATCATTACTTTGGTGTTCCAAATTCGCATGCAGATTGCCCATGCGATAAATGTTTCTTTCCAAATGATGACTGCAACTCAGGTTGTCAGAGAGCTAAAGCCCCATGTCAATTACTACTCGACGATGAGATTATTGAGCAACCAGTCAACTTGATATCTTTGGCGGAAAGACAGACAAGAGCCGCCAGAAGCTTCATCCAGTCTAACTCATGTGAAGGAACACCGTTTTTTCTCATGTACGCTTCTTTACATCCGCATGTACCTCATTTTGCAGGGGAACGTTTTAGAAATACAACCATTGGCGGAGACTATACAGACTCTCTTGCAGAATTTGATGGAGAGGTTGGAGACGTCATGACTGAACTACGAAACAGTGGTGTTCTCGAAAATACACTGGTTCTTCTAACTTCTGATAATGGGTAATTACTAGTTAAATATATATTTAGAATAAGTTTTGAACTAATGTTATTAATTAGAAAAACGGTCCTTGGTATAAACATAGGCCTATGCTTGCAAAAGAGAAAGTTTCGGTCGGTCGTTGGCAACACAATATCCTCGCCCATTATTATTTTGGTTATTATTATTATGAAACACATGTTGTACTGATTATTACTGATTAATCAATATAATCAAAAGATTTATTTTAAATCTTTTTTAGTCCCGATCTTGTAGAGAAAAAACTGGGAGGATTCTCTGGGGTATTTCGCTGTGGAAAATTGTCAACATTTGAAGGTGGAGTACGTGTGCCGACAGTAGCGTACTGGAAAGGGCGCATCAGACAAGGCGTGTCAGCGGAGTTTTTAAGTCATCTCGATATCTGGCCGACACTCAGAAGCATAAGCGGGTTGCCCTCTGACAGCCAAAATGTGGAACTCGATGGTTTCGATTTTTCTAGTGTGTTATTCAAGAACGGAAAGGTGTGTACCCTTATTAAGCTGATAGGTACTAGGTCTTCTTTTTAACAAAGATATGTATGCATTTTTTCTCTCAATAATAAATTTTTTTTTTATTATTGCAATTTTATTTACATTTATTTTAATCAAAAATGTTTATCAAAATTTTATGTACTAATCTAATATTTATTTTCGATTATGTAGACGATTATAAAAGTATACTTATTTAAGACATACTATTATTAAACATGTATTGTATTTCAAGTGAATGTTTATTGTTGTAGTTGTCTGTTTCTTGTTAACAGAGTCCAAGAGAATCAATGTTGTTTTATGACATCACACCGGATCCCGAAAGGGGACCATTTGCTATTCGCACGACCACCTACAAAGCACATTTTTTAACCGAATGCAGTATACGATGCGACGGTGATGCATTTGATGAGATGTGTAGGTCCAACAGCTCGCTTACGATTCAAGATCCTCCGCTAATCTATGACCTACTTTTAGATCCAGAAGAACGTGATGATATTGGTAGAACCAGCGAAGCCTTAGTTGCAGAAATGACCCAATTACTACAACAAGAAACGAATAAAGTAGCTTATTCCGAAAGTACGCTAAAGGAAGAGGACGAGTTGCATCAGCTGTGCTGCGATCCAGGATGCACGCCGTTCCCTTCATGTTGCGATTGCCCGTCTCAATACGCGGACAGTCTTCTGCCCTTATATAAAGATTGTAAAAAACTACCCTTAAATACTCGTATTATCTATCGCAAAATATCACACAAATGTTAATGGTTAAGTATTCATTATATTTTACTCCATCTATTTAAGAATAGGGATCTTTCGATGGTACGACGTAACATTTATTTCCATTTCAAATATATGTAACAGAAACTTTTATAAGGTATGCAAAGTTGAAGAAAGAAGACAGGATACGAAAATCTTGTGTCAGGACAACCTGAAAAAAGTACAGACAGAGAATCTAAACTAGGACCAAGGACACAACAACAGTACTGCACAACAAGACGAAAAAAAAAGACACAAAAAAAGAAAAAAAAAAGAAATAGGAAATATGAATTCGTCAGCCGGCAGTCGTACGACGCAGTGTGTGGCCGGTCACAGCGGACAACATTCGATTCTTTGGTAGTCTGCTTGCTCCCAGAAGGATGACCAGAGTCTTAGAATTATTATTTTGTCGCACATTACAAGTTTTTGGAAAGAGAACAATTTTAAGCTGAGCGACACTTTGCTCTTTCACGTAGTCGCATTCACTGCGGATATCACATAAAGACTTTCCGCCGATGCCACGTACCCTTGACGCTAGCCTGGGTTCCAGGCCCTAATTTTGGTTTATTTACTTTTTATTGCACTTAATGCGCGCCATACCAAATGTAATTGGGGTCCCATACTCGATTTCTTTTTTTTTCGAATTAGCTTGTTACGACCATATGACTTATTTATAACTGAACTTTATTCACTCGTTGGCGGCGCTGTCTAAAATAAAGGAAAACTATAACAAGCGACTTGTGGCAAGTCTACCTTGACACTTGCAGTGTAGTCATATTCTGAGTAGGCTTTTACTTGACATAAGACAGAATAATTAGTTAAAGCATTGCAATAATTAAAATAAAGAAATTGCAACGTGTGTGGTGATACAGTGCGTCTTCGTGACTTTGTCATACTCTACATGAACACTCATTATGCATCACCATCAATAATAAATAATTCTTGGTTTTAACTGTGCATGCCTGTAAAGGTAAAGCTATGTTGTGTGTATGTTCGTTATAGGGAGCTTTCGATTTGTGCGGTGACGCGACGCCAGAACAGAATTACTCATGCGTGACCGTCCTACCTGGCGTCATACGTTACGTAGATTTGGCCAAATTGCGTTCCAGAATTTACTCGACGAGGTGACCTTAACGTTCTCACATGCGCAGATGACTTTAGTGACGTCATTACGTTCTACGTCCTACCGTCGTCGTGTAATCGAAAGCTGCCTATTGTCGATTGACCTTAATACGAGCCTGTGCGGGTCAACTATCTGTTGTAGATATTATACTAACATATTAATAACATACAAGAAGGTCACAGTTACACAAGTACATCCCGTAGGTAAACATATAGAAAGAGCTATAATAGTAAAACTCGAGCGTCACGACATTGCGAAGTGGCTGCTCTTGCTCCTCGTATCGAACTCGAGTCGAGTCAATCCGAGTGAAGTTTCATGCAAATGTTTCGTACGGAAAAAAAAAATCGCAAGCCACTAGGACAGCTTCAGAGTTCGAACTTGAGCATAATTGAAATTTTAAGTTAACTAAACTTTAAGTTAAAGCATCCCAGTAAAACAGCACCTACTGTAGTTATCGACCAGTAGCGGAATTAAGGGGGAGGGGGAAGGCGGCCGGCCCGCCAGCCTTATTTTTCACAAAGTTATAAAGAAAAGTATAGAAAAAAATGTTATATTCATATTTAAGCCTGAGAGTGGCATTTCAAGATTCTCAAGACGCAAGAAATGTTCTTGGTCTTACAAATATACAGAAAATTGTATTGCTTGGCCGGTGAGTATAATAAAAACATATATATAAAGTACAATGCCAAAAATTTACAAAAAGAAGACGAGATCAGTACAGAATAAAAACATACAAATGACAATGAAAATTATATGGAAAACTGTGGAAAATGTTAAAAGTAGCTACAAACTAAAAACTAGAAAAGGGTTTGAAAAGAGGTGGCCATCTAGAGGTGCCGTAACGAATGTCCTTAATTCAGTGGGGGGGCTGAGGTGGTCTAGATCTTCCACACAGTGGCGCAACGCCTATGCGATTTCGTGCGCTAGAGCCCCCAACTCCAGGGTCCCTTACCTATAGGGTGCTCAATCTAGCACCTTAACCCAAAAGAACTTCATACATAACAGCAAAATGTGTTTCTAACATCGACTGTAATTCAGTGACGGATTAAAGGGACCCCTAAATTCGTCAAATATTTTTTTTTAAAAGGGAGATAAAATGAAAATTATTTTCAAATTTTTAGTCTGTGGGTGCCTACCATGACCTCCTCGTCGAACAGAAACTAATTTATTTCTTGGGGAGAAAAACAGATTCTATGTCATTTTTACAGAATGTGCCTCTAAAATAAATTTAGCCCTTTGAATCTTGTCAAAGTTTCCCTTATTTGAACGGCACATGATGACTCTATATGAGTTTTACTATTATATTGTCAAACTATTCATAGTTTGCATTTTTAACTAGAATATGAGATGTGTATAAGAGACAGGTGTTAACTTTTCATCACAACAACAATAATAATAATAATAATTCAATTAGACTAATTAAAAATAATTTGCGTTCTGTTATGACAAATGCTCATTTTAGCCCCTTCGTCGGGCAAGTCCTGGCGCCACCACAGTTCTTGGCTTCCCTGCTATCGTCGGGGGAAATCGGCCTTCCCGTTGGGCAAATCTCATCTATCGCAGACGTCGCCCCACATCGCTCCACCGCGTATATCGGATTTGTATGTGCGTGTAATTATTCATGTGTAGCTGTCCTGACTGGACGTGCCAGTTATTATCAAACAAAGATCTTATAAACACAAGATAGCGTTCTCCGCGATTTAGGCGTAACAAATAGAAGCGTCGGTCAAGGTTCAAAAGTTTCCTATTTAGCAAGAGGGCGTCATTCATGCGCTATTACCGAAGAGAAAAAGTAATAAGTTTTGGAAGAGGGCGTCCTATCTGTTGCCATGGATCTGAGATGGTTCCTGTTCTGCTGTTCACAGGCGGTGTACTGTATGGTCAGATCAGAGCGGTCAAGGGTCAAAAGTTTCCAATTTAGCAAAAGGGCGCCATTCATGCCTTATTACAGAATTTGCACGCGTAAATCCCGGAGAACGCTATCTTGTGTTTATAAGATCTTTGTTATCAAACCAATGTAATTCATAACCCGCAATTTATACATGTTTCAATAATACGTATTATGCAGAGTGTATTAAAATTTTTGCTATAATATATTTTATTAATTGCTTGAAACAACAATGCATATTTCAAACACAATATACCTGCATACTGATTTTGCCTTAGGCCAACTGATGTTCATAAATGTTTCATATTCACCGAAACTCCATCGGGAACTACCTCACCCAGGTCAGTTAAACATTTTCTCTTTTTTCCTCATTTCTTAAAAATTATTTTATGTAAATTGCATTTTTTATATAGGCCTATTAGGTACTGTACCGTACTTCATTTAATGTAAATTACAATTCAAAATTAAATTGTTTACGAATATTCAATACATGTAGATAAAACAGTTGGTTTATACCGTCTAAAATACATACATTAATCATTAGTAGTTGTAACGGTAGTCTATGGCATTTTCTACTACCCCATATCTGATGTTTTTATACTTTTCGTTGCTATTATAATTTTACAGTAGGCCTAATGCAATGTTAATTGTAGGCATAAGCAGTATGGGGCTTTCATGGTAGGCCTAATGCAATGTTGAGTCTAGGCATAAGCAGTATGGGGACGTTATCGCTGGGGATGATGGCTTTATCTGCTTCTGTACATCTTCCCTGTCAATCTGCTTACCAACATATTTGTAGGTTAATTGTTAATGGGCTTAAATTTGATATGAAGCGCAAAATACAGGAAAAAAAAAGTATCTATGCGCTTTTTGTAGGTGCATTTATTTGTATGTTATCGTATGCCTGCTTGTGCTGTAAATCTACAAGGACTATACTTTGAAATGGAATTTGAATTTTTGCTCGGAGTAATACTCTATATCCCACTTATTAATTTTTAATCGTTTCAAAATATTTACCTTATTATTACAGGTCTATTTCAGCTTACAAGATGATTGTTCCAGTGAATGAACCAGCATCTTCAGCTATATTAATATTAGTTTTGCTTTGCTCCGGTTGGTGTTGCCATGGGGACTCGCTCGATAAACCTAATATTGTTATATTGCTTGCCGATGACATGGGATTCGGTGACCTTCAGTCTTATGGGAACCCCTTATCGTCAACACCACACATCGATGCTTTGGAAAGAAATGGATTGAAATTTACACAATTTTATAGTGCTGCTCCGATGTGCAGTCCATCACGGTAGTAGGCCTACAGCAATTTTCCATTCATGTTAATGCTTATTTTTTAATTTTGTATAATATTAATAATATAAATACTAATAATAATAATAAACAATAATAATATTAATTATAATATAAATACTAATAATAATAATAACAATAATAATAGTAATAATAGTAATAATAATAATATTATTATTAATAATAATAATAATAATTTATTATTATTATCATTATTATTATTATTATTATTATTATTATAATTGCTTGTGTATTGAGTGTATTTTCTACTGTGCATTTTTATGTGCAAATAAAGAAAACTGACATGAACTGAACTATTGTAATTCATTATTATTATCATTGCTAATACTATTATTATTGATCAACTTTATTATCATTTTTATCTTTATCTATTTTTCATTATCAACGTTGAAATGAACATCATCTATTACACTGTGCGTTTAAACATTTTAATGATTAATAATACTTATAACAATAGTAATAATAATATTAATAATGATAAAGATGATGATGATTTTGATGGTGATGATGATGATGATGTTGATAATAATATTAATAATTGTTTTATTATTTTTTAAAGGGCTGGTCTACTTACCGGGCGGTATCCCGGCCGCGCAGGTATCTGGACAAATGGTGACAATGAAAATGCCACGGGCGTCTTTACTCAAGTGATGACGGACGGACTACCGCATCAGGAAGTCACAATCGCAGAAATGCTAGCAAAACAAGGTTACATGTCAGCCCTCATCGGCAAGTGGCATCTCGGTATTGGACGCGATAGAGAGTTTCTGCCTCTGCACCATGGTTTTGATGAGTTTTTTGGGATTCCAGTATCTCATATGGATTGTCCATGCAATAAATGTTTTTTTCCTCTCGATGACTGCGATCGTGAGACCTGTATCGAATACCATGCACCTTGTCAATTAATGCTTGGAGACGAAATTATCGAACAGCCAGTCAATTTGATAAATTTAGCTGAGCGGCAAGCTAGAGCAGCTCGTAGCTTGATCCAAAAATACTCCTGCACAAGAACTCCGTTTTTGCTCATGTATTCATTTTTCCATCCCCATGTTCCTCATTTCGCTGGTAAACCATATAGAAATTCAACATTAGGTGGTGACTACACCGACTCATTAGCGGAATTGGATTGGCAAGTAGGAGAAGTGATGGATGAATTAGAGAAGAGTGGAGCGATTGACAATACGTTAGTCATCTTCACGTCTGATAATGGGTAAGATTTTTTAATAATTCAATTTTATCTACAGTGTCATAAAATGGATTTAAAATAAACTCTAATATGTTCAATTGAAAGAATATACTTTGATCAAGTTTATTAAT